CTGAGACCACTGGAGCAGCCGACCATGGACTGAACCCTCTGAGACCACTGGAGCAGCCGACCATGGACTGAACCCTCTGAGACCACTGGAGCAGCTGACCATGGACTGAACCCTCTGAGACCACTGGAGCCACCAACCATGGACTGAACTCACTGAAACTGTGAGCTAAATAAACCTCTCCTTCTTTCTTTTCCAATTTGTGGGCGCCATGTATTGCACTTCAGAGACAAGAAAGTTGACTAGTATAGACTTGAACAATGTAAAAGATGCTACCATAATTCTCCCCCTTCCTCCTCTTTCTCTTTATTTATCCATCTCTTTCTTTTCAGGAAATAGCAGAGAGACCCTCTTGCATTTCCGATCATATTGAGGTGATGGCAAACCATCAAGTCCTAGCTGATTACATCAATCAAGCCACTTATTCAATGAAAGATTTTTTCAGTTGTCCTAGCTCCAGCCTCATTTGGCTTTAGAAACTCGAATGGAGAAGAAAGATATGGGTGATCCTTGCTAAATAATTGGCTGGGATTCATCCCCCACTTCACCTGTTTTTGGGTACACATCCTTCCAACACAGGTGTGTTAGAAGCAATACACAGCAATTGCAAGTGAGGATCCATGCTTGAAAAAAACTCGTGTGATGATCATTCTGTATCACAGTAAATTGAGTCTGGTGGATTTAAGTGCTCATTCTTTCCTGGAATGCCTGTGAAATCTTGAGCTCTTTCATAGGAAATATCTGCAAGTAACCATTCTTTATTGAATCTTGTGGTGGAATACTCATACACGCTATAAAGTACTTGATCGTATCCATCCCACATTTCTCACCCTTACTCTTCCTTCTTCTCCTTTCCCTGTTTTTTCCCTTTTATAATAGTCTTTCTACTTTCGAGTCATCTCTTTTTTCTATTTTTCTAGATTCTGCATATTAGGAAATCAAGCAACACATGTCCTTAAGAATAGCTTATTTCACAGAACATCTGAGCATAATGAATCATCTCCACTTCCATACATTTTCCTGCAAATGACAGAATTTCATCCTTCTTTTCGGCTGAATAATACTCCATACCACATTTTCTTTACCCATTCTTCTGTTGATAGTCACCTATGCTGGTTCCATAACTTGACTTATGATTTGTGCCTCTGTAAATATGTGGCTCTTCCAACATTTAAACACTTTCTTGTAGAGCAGGACAACTGAGACCTCCTTCTTGGAACCCGCCTTGTTCATTTTCCATCATCTATTGGTTTCCTTTTCAGGGTGACCTGGGAATATCAGGAAATACACAGCCACCTTCCTGCCCTGCCCTGGGAAAGACCTGGCCATGGTCACGTGTAAGGTTTCTGGAAGTGAACACAAAGGAATAGACATGATTTCTTCACCTTGTGTTACGTGAAAAGCCAACAAGCAAGATGAGGAGGTAAGAGTGAAGAAAGACTTGTGATATGATGTAAAGACAGAAAGCAATTATGATAACTACCAAAGGAATGGTCTGTATAGAAGAAAAATTCATATTGGAAAATATTGTAATATTCATATTGGAAAAATGCATATTGGAAAGATATACTTCTGGGTGTGTACAGTTCAAGATCATGGCTTTTCATCCATTGTATATTCAAAGGTGGTGCCCAACAAAGTCTGCAGAGAATTTAGCATTATGGCAAGATTACAATGAACCAAGCTTAGGCTAGGTCATGTGGCATGGGGGTGGGTGGCTTTTGTTGGTTTAAAATAGTTCTCTGTGGTTTTCTCTGGAAGGCTTTATCTGAAACAAACAACTTGGAAGGATGGTAGGGTCAGCAACTTTTTCCTCATGGACACAAGTGCTTAACCTTGTAAGTAAATTCCTGTCTTGAAACTAGCACATTCACTAGTAATTATCGTCCATCTCAGTGTTCTAGAAGGGATCGGTTAAGTTCCCAGAATTTATCACAGAAGGAGAGGGTAAGATGCTAAATAAACATGGGAGAAGAAGACAAGAGAAGCATTAATCACTTGGGTGGCAGTGAAATAAGCAGTACCTCATGCATCCCCAGTTCCGAATATTTAATCCCTCACCACTCCAAAAAACTCTTCCATTGAATGCTCAAAATTTGGTCATTGGTTGAGTATTTCTTGATACTCACAAGGTCTTCCTGAAAGAGAAACCAAGAGACGAAATCTGTCACCTCTGTCATCTACTCTGGAAGCTGTTTAATCGATTAATAGTGGAGGAAGCAGTTTCAAACGCTGTTAGCTACACCTCCCCAAGCAGAGCTGAGGGAGGGTCATTTCTACAGTTTCGTCATCATTGCTCTCAGGGGAAAAATGTTCTCATCACAAAATAAAACGATACACATCAATGTTGTGCTGACGATCACATCAGCACGTGTGACATTGGTTTTCTCTTACACAAGGAACTTCTATAATTTTTCAGCAAAAAAATGCTAAACATAAAGTCTGCTAATAAGGAAGTAATAAGAAACAACAATGGGAACGTGTTGTAATGAATATATGACATTGTCTAGCCTCGTGAATAATCAAAACAGGCCAAAATCAAAACATAAATTCTAAAATAGAAAATAACAGTGGGTGTGACAAAATTGCAATGCATACAACTGAAAAATTACATAAGAAAGATTGATAGAAGTAGCTGAGGAAATGACCAAAGAATTCAACATGAGTTGAGAGTAAAAGGGTCTTCTTGATATGAAGACTGGAAAAGGAGGTAAAGGTAGAAAAAATCCAATAAATCAACTACTGCTACTTTGCAAAAGTGAGCTCCAAGAAGAACTGAAAATGTCATAAAAGAAGATAGTAATCTATTGATTGAAAGCCAGAGCATAGTCTAGGAAAAAACACATTCACACCTAAAATCACTGAGATGTAATACCATGAAACAATGCATGGAATCATGTTACGTGAAGGGAACACCCGTAGGTAGAAAAATTCAGATTGGTTAATTCTATGGCAGTACTGAAGACGGGGGAAATAACCCACTGTCAGTTCTTCGAAGATGCAGTGATACAACAGGCATGGTTCTGAGAGGCAGGATGATGACTTGGAACCCCCAGAATTTGGGTCAGAAGGGAGGGGAAGTAGGGGAAGATGGGTGAATTCATCCAAGCTGTAGGACCCCGATTTAACTTAAGCGAATATCAGAGAGTCAGGCACATACCTTGGGTGAGTGGATGCCTGTACAGCTCCATGTATCACCATCAATTTTTTTTGTGTGTGTGCCAGGGATCAAACTCAAGACCTTGTGCTCGGGAGACAGGAGGTGGAACCACTGAGCTAAATCCCCAGCCCCACCATCAAATTTTTATCTAGGTATAGTTTGCTGAGAAACTATGCAAAAAATTAAAAATCTGGCTTTGCCTACTCTGGGGGAATTGTGGTGGTTACCATTCAAGATGGCTCCAGTCGCGTCAAGCTGAATCCATACAAATAGATGAAATGAGCGACTGCTCTTGTCCACATTTGGTACGAAGGAAACAGATGCCCGGGTGCGAAGCACTAAAACATTGTACCAGACCCAGCGGGGGCCACGTGATGGTTAGCCATTAGTATTTTTAATATAAACTAAAATTAAGAAATGAGTCAGTACCAACACATGACATGTTGGGTGAATTCTTGGAATAAAATAGTGCCTCTGGAAATATACCACAAAATGCAAAATATGTTCATCCATGGGGAAGTTTTCTATTGTATTTAAATCTTTTCATGTTTGTTTTTATGAATCCATATTTGGAGGATGTACTCATCATACTCCGTGAGGGAAGTTGGGACAGATACAAAAGACATCTTAAATTGTTTTATGTGCCTTTTCTCCTTCCTTTCTCCCTGTCCTTTCCCCATGTCTCAGTTCCCTTTCCTTTGGCAGGATAACTGTCTCCCTGTTTTCTATTATCTATCTTTAATTTTTCTCTTTATTTATATTTCAGGCAATGATAAAAATCTTTGAGGGAAAAAAATTTCAGATCAACTGTTGATATACGCAGCCCATTTCATAGAGTGCATATACTCAACTGTATTTATGCACACTAAGTACCTACTTAAGCATAGAACATGATTCAGGATGCTTAATTGTGCCTAATTCAGCTGTTATGAAGTATTTCATGTGATAATATACAATAACGTCCTTAGTGAAATGAAAACGAAAGTCCATACCAACTTAGGCAATTCAGGCACTCAACAAAAAATACCCGCGGTGTCTCTACACCAGCTTCCAATGCAAATTAAATAAAATTCAGTGTGTCTCAAAGTTTAAAGTAAGATCAAGGACATAAACTTTAGTCAGATGTCAAATTTTATCTCTGCAAAGGTGTTAGCATGCCAGCCAGAACTTGGGTGAGAGGCACGGTCTTTCAATTGGTGTGTAATAAACATTAAAAACTCTCCCGAGTGGAAATGCCTTGATGAAGCCAACCTATCCTTATTAATCAGTGTCTGGATGTAAGCGTTGTCTTCACAACTTCTTTCTCAGCTGTAATCTTCAGGATCCTTTCTGATTTTTCTGGGAAGTGTTGGGTACTTGATGCCCTCCTCAAATCAAGGTAGCTGCTTGCAACACAACCGGAAGTTAGCTTTGTAAATCAGCATGGTGGTTGAAATTTTATGCATGTGAATGGGCCGTCTTTGACCAAATGAAGGAGCCCAGAAGGCTTTCAGAGGGGATATTAGCCACAAACTGACATCACACTCGGAATTCTCTAAACCACTGTTTGAATCCGAGCGCAGACGAGCGATTCCATCCACACAGGAAGTGACACTCAGGGAAATGTTTCTGAGCTGTGTGCGTTTCCATGTGGGGAAGTTCTAAAGCCCTAATTAACGGGAGGAATGTACACATCAGTAGGATGATATTTTAATGCGAAGGGGACCTCCTCGGTAACCTCAGCTTTGGGGCGGGGCTGCACGGGGTTGGCAGAAAAAGAAGCCATTTGAAATAAACAATGCATTCACCGAATTCTAGACATGCAAACCTGAGCACACTCATTTATGAGAGGGTCACTTTCTTTGTCTTTTAAGACAGGAGAGCAGCTTGCCTCTGAGATGAATTCATAAAAATTAACCCAGAAATTAAGCAGAAAGGATCGCTACTCATGTCTGGAACATGGTATTGGATCACGAGCAATGTTTCCTTTCTCTGAGAAGGAAGTGCTAAAATAAGTACTGTAATGGGTAGAAAGCTGCAGTCGAGGAGTTAAGATGGAGTAAAACATCTTAGTAAATAAATGGAGTAGAAGTTGTGATCATAGAGAAATAGAGATGATCCCAAACAGACGATGGTTTGATTTGTGATTTTTTTTTGACTCTATGATGTCAAGAATATGGAATTCATTCAGTAGAGAAAAGCACCTCCTTTGGTGAATTCTCGTCTTTTCCCAGGCTGTGCTCCTGTCTTGCACATGTTGGTCTGCAGCTTGAGTTGTAAGGGCAACTCAGTCACAGATCCAAAGGTGAGAAAAATGCGCTCCCTCCAATGTGTTGGGTCGCTGTGCTTTGGTGTTCGGTGGATTAAAGAAGTTCAGTGTATTTTGGACCATTCTTTTCGATATTCAGTGGGTTTATCTTGACAAAAGCCCACTGTAAATCCAGGGCCATCTGTATTTGAATCATGAGTTTTCTATCGAGAAAATTGTAGAGAAGGGGTGGTAAGCATGGTAGAGAGAAAGCAGGGATGACGATTTGGAGAATAATGAGGTACTGATGTAGTTGGAGAATGAAAGACTAGAGTGTAAAATTATGACATCAAGTGACCTGAATTGAAGGAACTTTATAGTCAAGAGTGGGCATTGATATTCCATACGACCTGGTTGAGACAAACTTAAAATATTAAGGTGTATTAATGACTTTTAAAAAAGATAATTCTTGAGCATATGCAATAAGGTTGAGTTTAGAGAAGGGAGAATTGGTGACCTAGAGGCCAGTGATTGGATGTGACTGTAATTTTAACCCAGGAAAAATATTTGTTTCTTTCCCAGCCCTAATACTTGTGAATGTGATCTCAATTGGCAACACAATGGGTCATTGGTTTCCATGAAGTGTAGGTTCTAGGCATCCCTGTGGATATTTAAATCTGCAAATACCTCCTTCCTGCAAGATGGTGCACTGAGAAGAGGAACTGCACCTATCTTCCCATGTATTTTATGTTATCTCTAGATGGTTATAAAATACAAAGGACATGCAGGTCAAATGCTGGTTCTATTAGGTTGTTTGGAAAATAATGACAAGGATGAAAAGTCTATATCTGCTCAGTACAGACACAATTAAAAATATTTTAGATCTTTGGTTGAATCTGTGGATGTAGAAGTGTCAGGCATGAGGTCTGTCTGTGAGGTTTTTGCAGTCCTGATTGAGATCCGAGGCAAGCTGAGGTCGTATATGGTGGGATCCAGATCCTATATGAATGGTGATCTAGCAGCAAAACAAATGGAGAGATACATGCACAGGGAGGGAAGGTCGTGTGAGGTCATATACACATGGAAATGACAGAGGCAGAGACCGGAGTGATGGGGCCACAGCCCAAGGCATGCTGAAGCCCCAGGAGGTGGAAGAAGCAGGAGGGTCTCCCTTGGAGCCCATAAATGGAGCTAGGTACAATAGAAGTGGATTGGATGGTGACCCCCCCAAAAACGTGTCCATGCCCTGACCCCAGAATCTGGAATGGGACCTCATTTGGAAACAGGGTCTCTGTGGATGGAATTAGTTAAATATTGGAGAAGAGACCAGCATGGATCAAGGTGGACCTAATTCTGGTGGCAGTTTCCTTCTGAGGGATAGAAGAGGAAACACAGAGAAGAAATCGTGTGAAGATGGAGGGAGAGATTGGAGCAATGAGGCCACAGCCAATGGACTCCTAGAGCCCCAGGAGGTGGCAGAGGCAGGAGAGTCTCCCTTCCCCCAGAGAGCTCACAGCAAGCACTGTGCTGCCAACACCTTGAATTTTGATTTCAAATCTCCTGAAATGTGGGAGAATAATTCTCTCTCATGAGCCCACACAGTTGTTGGAACAAAGCCACAATAGCACTCACAGCTTCTAATGATAGTTGAGGCTATGCAAGTGAGACAGAAACCGTGATCCTAATCATGGCTTGGAGAAACAAGGGAAAAATTATGTAAGTACACTGAACCCTTGACTTATGAACTCAATCCATTCTCAAAGGCTGGTTGTAACTCAAGTTGGTCAGTGGAGGCTCAGCTCCTCTCCACAGCCTTCAGTCTCTCTCCTGTACATAGGCAGAGCTCAGGGTCCTGAGAGAGACCCTGGCCCAGGATTTCTGCGTGAACCCCACACGGGAGAGGATGCTGTCCTGTTCCTTCCAGAGCTCTTTAGGGTTCAATCTGCATCTGAAACCATCTGGGAGTACAAGAGGCTGGCACTCGAGTTGTAGCTCAAGACTTTGGTCATAAGTTAAAACTAAAACTGAGTCGTAACCCAAGTTGTTTATATTTCAGGCTGGTTGTAACTCGAGGGTCCACTGTAATCAGAAATTGAAGTGGGTGTTATATAACAGACAAAGCTAAGCCAGGCACTAACTTTGGTGCCTCCAAGGACTGGGTGAGTAGGGGTCATGTGATTCCATATGATGGATACTTTCATCCTAAGGAGTTTGACTGTTTGGGAGTCAAATCGGCCAGAAATCTACTGGACTACATGGGAAGCCTGCAGTAGATAATCAAACATCTTTCTGTGGAAATACACGTTCAAATCAGAAGAGTGAAAAGGCACAGATAGGCTCCGTGGAGCTGAAGGTTTGCCAACTTTATGAGACTTGAGACTCAGCCGTAGCTGTAAGTTGGCGACTCCTCTCAGTTTCTGAGAAGGATTCTTTGGATGCATGCAAAATCCTCATCATGCAAAGCCTCGCTGATACGTTCTGCTCCTTCCAAGAGAACTGTGAGTTCTTCCTTTTCTTTAATGTGTGATGAAGTATTCCTTCCTGCAGTGTGAAATGGTTAATCCTTCATAGCTACACCAGAAGAGGATTTTATAGGTGCAACTGGGCTATCTGAGACTGTTTTACTCAGAAACATTCAGTATCTGTTTCCTATACAGCAATAATACAAGCAGCTGGAGTGCAAAGGTAAATGGCTCTGAAATTTTTGTTTTGGAAGGAGCTTTCAGATTACTATTGTGGTATGAAAGGTACAAAAGTGTTTTGGATGGAGAAAGAATTGATGGGGGTAAAGGAAAGTGTTAAAGACATCACATGACCGTGATCCATGCACATACACCCAAGTTTATAGCAGAACAGCTCATAATAGCTAAAGCTTGGAAGTGGCCTGTGTGTCCATCAACAGATGAATGGATAAGGAAAGTGGTATTTATACATGATGGAGTACTACTCTGCCCTAAAGAAAGATAAACTTGAGCCATTTGTAGAAAAATGGATGCAGTTTGAGCCCATAATGCTCAGTAAAATACTCAGACATAGGGTGTTACATATTGCATGTTTTTGCAATCCCAAAACATAAATAATGTGAAGAGCAAAATGAAAGAGAGATAATAGGAAGTAGGGAGATAGGAGCTTTCTCAGAGGGGAAGGGAACCAAGCCATGGGGACAATGGGAGGGGGAGGAACAGAAAGGAATGAAAAAAGGAATTAAGATATGTTATGCACTATCATCAACTCCCTACAATAACTGTAATCACTATGTACTGCAAATGTGAATAGAAAAAATTTTAAAAATTAAATTAAAAAGAAAAGAAGTGACTGTCCCAATGAAAAAGCTAGAAAGAAGTCAGATATGTTTTCCAAAAGGCTGAGGTGGGAGGCATTTCAAAAGTAAGAGGCAGTTGTAGGGCTTTGCAGTTGCACCAGAAAAGAGGAAACTCTCTGAGGACAACTCCAGCAACAACATTAATAATAATAATAAAATAATGACAATGATGCAGGAGAAAGGGGTTGGGTGTTCGAAGAATCCTGCACAGTTTCGGATGGAGGGAACATACCCAGAGGAGCTTTAAAGAGACAGGAAGCTAAAAGAGACCAAGCCTAGGAGCCCAAGACCATGCTGGCCTTCATAGGACAAGAGAAAGATCCAAGAGAGAGTTGATATCATTTGTAGTTTGTTTTTATTTTGCTGTTACTCTGTGGGAATTTGGAAATTAATTATTACAGGGTAATGAGTGGATAATAGGCCTGTATTTAAGATGGGGTCAGGTTATTTCAGGGGCAATTATGGTTGTTCCTAATCTCTGCATCTGATTAATTATATTTAATGATGATGGTGATTATTGAGGTTGAGAAAGGGTGACTTGTACACGTTCTGTTTAATTACTGATGGGTCATCTTTTTAAATAAAACAAAGCACCACCTAGTAAAATACTTAAATAAAGGAAGCGACATACTGGAGTCTATTTCTCATATACTGGTTGCCAATGTGGCTAGTTCCTCAGTGCATTAATTCATGACATTTAGCTTAGCATGTGTGCAAATAAAAACCATGTCACATTCATCACTGACTAGCACATTTCCCCAAGACTTAAATGGCAAGCATTTGAATGTCGGTAAGTTCTTGGAAAATATGAAACGACCACCTTGGAAAAATTTATTCATTTTGTAGTAGCAGGAATCGAACTCAGGGCTTTCCCATTGAGCTGCAGTGCTAGTGCATTGCTTTTTTTTTTTTTTTTTTTCTTCTTCATACTGAGCCTCTGTACCAAGTTGCCCAGTCTGGGCTCAAACTTGTAATTTCTGTGCCTCAGTCTCCTGGTGTGCTGGTATTACAGGTGCACACCACTATGCTTGGCTAATGATTTATTTCTTAGAAATCTGAGTCAATGATTTGCATAAAAGAAATGGGGAGGGGGAATTATAAGCATGAGTGCAGTTGCTTAAGTACACATTCAAACCTTGAATTGCAAGTAACTTGCTCTGTGAATGTTCCACAAGAAGAGTCGTGATTTCTAAGAAATGTTAACTTCATAAATGAGCAGTGTCTTGCAATGTAAGTAGTACGTGATACCTGAAAGTCACATGATCACAACTGAGCCAATGGCTCCCCCACCCCCGAGATTGTGGATGACCATCTTTCAACAGCAGGAGGTTGTGGAGCAGATCTCTCATCTGCAGAGGAGGAGGAGAAATAGAGCAGAGGAATCTCTCCCTTCAAATGAGGTTAGAGAGATGTGTAAAAGCTGGGAGACTGCAAAATTTCATAGAAAGTATCACTTGAGTGAGGCCATAGCAGTTCAAGCAAGGAATCTATTTAACAGTAATGCAGTGTCACGGTTTCACAAAATCCTCAAAAGAAGGCAGAAGTAAGTGTCGTATGATAGGTTCTTTGCTAAAGTTGCATGAAAAGTAAAAGATTGCATTGGGGCAATAGATAGCAGTGATTCTGATAGTGACGCTGAAAGTCATTCTACACAATAGCCCTCCTCCCTCTTGTCTCCCTCACACCAACCACGAAGGTTTTCAAAGGTAGATGCAGGTTACTTTGTTTATTTTTCTTTATATTTTTGTATTTCATTTATTATTTTGTATGTTATTACAATATTCTAATCCTTTTTTGTTCCAATTCTTGTTTTATTATTTATTTATTTTTAATTAACTTTATTGGTACATTTTGGGTATACATTATGGTCACATTCATCATTGGGAATTTGTGGAATGAGTCATCTAAGTTTCTATTATTTCTTATGTAGAAATTTGCTTTGATATACAAGTGCTTTGGATTGCAAGTGTTTCTGGAATGAATTATGCTTGCAAACCAAGAATTTACTATAATAAAAACATCATTTATGAAACCAATGCTATTACGTTTATAGGAAAATTTTTTTCAGAATATTTGTATGTGTGTATGTGTGTCATAGAGGAAGTTGAAAAATATAAATCTATGTATTTGTAAAGGGAGGCACATTGGATAAGTTTATTTGGAGGGTGGTATGAAACATTTTTGTTCTTTGAATGAAACATCTGTTTAAATTGGATACTGGTGTGCTCTGAATAGAGAGTCATACCTAGTACTTTAGAATCATCCATTTATGACATTTAATCTGCAAAATTCACAAAAATTTCATACATATAGTTTCCATATGGTTGACCACTCCACACCAAGAACAATATTTCTGTTCAATAATCAATACTCACATTTTTGTAGCAACATTATTCATGGGAGACACAGAGCAGAAACAACCCAAGTATCAACCAATGGAACGACTAATGAACAAGAGGAGTTCTATGTAGGTAATGACATATGAATCAGGTATACCGGGTAAAAGATACTGGTCAATCTTACAACTTGGATAAATCTTGAAAGTATCATGCTAAGTGTCTTAGTTACATTCCCATCACTGGAAAAAATACCTGATATCCACAACCTACAAAAAGGAAATATTTATTTTGCCTCAAAGATTTTTGCTTTATGGTTGACTGCTCCAGGGGAGGAACATCTTGGCAGACAGGCATTGGGGAGGAAAGATGCTCACACCATGGTGGCCAGGAAGCAGAGAGAGAGAGAGAGGAGAGAGAGAGAGAAGAGAGAGACCGAGAGTCATTGTTCTCATGGTCTCAGAGGGTTCAGTCCATGGTCGGCTGCTCCAAGGCAGGAACATCATGGTGGACAGGTGAGGAGGAGGAAAGATGCTCACATCATAGCAGCCAGGAAATAGAGAGAGAAGGGAGGAGCTGGGGACAAGAACCTACCCTTCCAGGTCACACCCAGTGACCACTTCCAACTAGGTCCCACCTCCTGAGTGAGCAAACAGCCATGAGCTCATCCATGGATGGATCCACCTGTGAGCCCAGCACCCCATGATTTAATCATGTTCCAAATACATAAGATTTGAGGGGACAGTTTAGATCTAAACCCTAACAACTAGAGAAGAAAAGAAGGCCACACTGTGCATGGCTATGTTTATATCAAATGTCCAGATGGGGCAAATTTGTAGACATAAAGCGGCTCGCTGGTTGTTGTGGGCTAGGAAGAAGTAAATCAGGATGGACACATGGTGATTTGTTTTGGAAGTGAACAGCAGGACTGGCTGATGAAATTGTAAATATACTAAAAAGCGACTGAACTTCACATTTTTTTTTTTTTGGTACCGGGGATCAAACTCCAGTCCTTGCGCTTTTGAGGCAGGTGCCGGAACCACTGAGCTAAATCTCCAGCCCTGAACTTCACATTTTAAAGTAGTGAAAATGGTAGTATACTATAAACTGAAAAGCATTAAGATGAAATGCTTTCAATCTATGCAAGATCAAGAAAATGGGAGAAATTAATAATTGTATTCACTTCAAAATTAATGGAAGGCAAGTGTTAATCACAAGAATACCTAATTAAAATGTTTAAAATCCTATACATCAAGCTAATAGGTGTTTTTAAAAGCATTGATATTAGTATTTAAAAAGTGAAAATTGTTGATCAAAAGCAGAAAAAGGAAGAAAAGAGAAAAATAATGTAATTATTCAGTTCAATACATTAATAATGACATGAACCACAACTGGTTGTCAATGGTTGTCTTAGTTACTTTCATTGCTGAAGGAAAATACTCAACCCCTCAGATTTAAAGGGGAAACAGTTTATTTAGCTCACAGTTCATAGAGGTTTCGATCCATAATCAGCTGGCTCCAAGGCAGGGATGGCAAACAGGCATCGCAGAGGAGAAACAACATGGCAGGAACAAGGTAACAAAAGCTGCAAGGGGCCTTAACGGCATCTTTCTGCCCCTTTTATCTTATGCAGACTACTTAGGGTGGGCAGCACTCACACCCCTAATCCTAGTTCCCTTGCACCTAGCCCCACCATGAATCAATCACACACTCTAGATTCATCTACCTAGAAAAAGCAGGAGGAGGCTTTGGGGGAATCTAAACACTAGTCATAATAATGGCCTAGGTGTCCTATGTCCTATTACAAATATTTCAGACTAGATAACAAGAAAATAATCTGTTATATGTTGGCTACTCTGAAAGTTTCTGAAATATATGGGTAATGGAGTATTTTATATATATTTTTAGAAAAATATAACATGGAAACTTTAATGAAGGCAAGTTGCTACAATTATCCTAATATTCATTTTTAGGTAAATGTGGAAGCATAGCTATAAGAACAATATGAGAAAGTGTACATACCTGCGATCCCAATATGCCGGGAGGCTGATGCAGGAAAATGGCAATTTCAAGCCCAAAAGGAGCAATGTAGTTTCTTAGCCAGACTTGATCTCAAAACCAAAAATTAAAAACAAACAAGCAAAAAAGAGATGGAGATAGAGAGAGAGCGAGAGAGAGAGAGAGAGAGAGAGAGAGAGAGAGAGAGAGAGAGAGATCTACCAGGAGCTTAAAATTTCAACTTATATGTACAAAAATGACAAAATATCAAAAATGAAATTAGTAGAAATAGAGCAAAAACAGAAATAATCATCAAGAGCCAGTGATTTTAATATACAGATCACAGAAACTGCCATAAATTCAGGCAAGGCAATTTTAAAGCTTGATATAAATTCAGGCAAAAAAATACCAGTAATGATAATGACATTTCACCAATAGGATTTTTAAAAATTGATTAAATTGGAGTGAAAGTGTGGAGAATTTATTTTTTTAAAAGAATTCATGGAACCTCCAACTGATTTCACAATATAGGTTGGGACAAAATTCAAATCTAAGCAATTCTCAAAGTGCTGAATTTCAGCGACTGTTCTTTCCTCTCAGTAAAACTGTTGGACATCAAAAAGGTCTGAAAAAATTAAGATGTGTTCTGCAGTTGCACTAACTCCATACGGGGAATGGTATGATTATGTACTGCAAACCTACACCGATACAATAAAAAGAATAAAGACAATCAGAACAGAATATGCAATTCTTTGAAAATTTAGCACATTTCCGTCTAACTTAATAGTCAAAGGAGAAATCACAATACAAATTAGGAAAAAAAATATCCCAAAGGATTGAACTCTCTCATAATAAAATCACAAGGTGTCAAAGTAAATGTGAAGTCTAATTAAACAGAGTGAAAATATACACCATGTGTCCCAGGAAGTGTGAACCCCAATTAAATATGTTGAAATATTCAGATGCTGCTCCCATATACGAGAAACAGAAGAGAAAATCTGAAAAGCAGTTATAAGTTACCTCTAAAATATTTGTGCAAAAAACCTGGAAAATTTAAAGTGAAGATGGTGAAGGGAGTAATGCATATTTACTTCAGAATAGATATCAATACATTAAAAAATAAAACAGCACATATGGATAATAGAGAAATTGAACAGCTCCCAAAAAATATTTTCTTGCAAACAGCAATGTGATTTATAAACTTCACACGTGGCTCTACTAGGATAAAATAAAGATGAATCTGTCAGTACAATGAGAAATCCTACTGGCAATATTGCATCACAGTGATTCTATCGGCAAAATTTTGCAAATTTAATTTAGTTTATTCAGACATTCCAATGACAGGAACACAGTATTTTGCAAAATTCCAAAAACTTGTAATGGATAAATAGAATCTCAATACCTTTAATTAATGTTTAAATTATTCACTATTTTTATACTTCCACAGGACTAACTTCAAACACAATGAATGCAACAATGAAATCATTCAATAATTTTAGGGAAAAAATAACCT